TGCCCGGGGTCGTGGCGGCTGGCCGCTCCGCGCTGGGCCCCTCGGCGCCGGGCGGGCCGTGACCTGTCGCTGCCGTTGCGGAAGGGCTGCGGTGGCCTTCCCCGTCGCTCCAGGCGACTGAGGCAGGGGCCTTCCCAAGTGTTTACCTGAAACCCGCCATTAGAGGTGGGGATGAGATGCCGGCCATCCCCTTGAGCCGTTTCCCTGACTGCGCCTCCGGTGCAGTGACGTTAGGTGGTGATAGACTGTAGGCGATGATAACAGGAAAGGGTCAGTAATGCCGAGAATTGCTGTAGCTTTTTCTGTGAGCAGCTGTTGGTGGCTTACAGGTTAGGGAAAAACTGTACTTGTTATAGAAGGTAACGCTATAGCACTTAAACATCTCTGGTGACAAATGCTCCAGATTCTCGTTGCTCCCTCAGCTAGTTTAAACTATTGATACCCAAAACCTTTCATTCCTAGGTTTGTTTTTCTGCAGTGAGCTCCTGAAAATCTCATAACAACGAGATTAAGGTGCCTTTTTGAGCCTCATTTTTGCAGATGTCAAGCTTTGTCTGACTCTTCGGTTTCTCATAGTTGAACAAAGTACGTTGATTTTCTCTCTACAGAGAAGAGACATTGTTGACACTATTTAATCTGTTTAATGGTTTTAAAGAGAATAGTAATAAAACCGGGAAAATCCTGAAGCTAAAATAGAGAGTATTCAAAGATCTGATCTTTAACTAAATTGGCGTGCCATACACTGCCTGAAGGGAACAGTTATTTTGCTCTTGCTTTGTGTCTATATGTATACATATATACATGTGCATGTATGCATGTATTTATACCTATACATATACATATCTATATGTCCACCTGTATATGAACATATGTGTGTATATATGTAAAAACAATTGTGTATGTGTATATATAAAACCACACCTGTTTGCGGTTGCTTCTTCACTCTGAAATTATTGTTCAGAATGAAACACTTAAATAATAGTCTGCTGTTTTAGATAAGTTAGCTCAATATAAATAGTATTGCTGCTTCTGTTCAGCATAAACAACTTTTAAGACTTGTAGGCACTTCCTTTTGGGTCTGTGCTTCCTTACTCTCAGGAAGCTTGACTGTAATCTGCAGCATGGGGAGGATGGAATGTACCTTTTAGTGGCTTTTCTGGACATCAGCAGTGTAAATAGCTTGTCTGATACTGAGATCTAAACTGGTCCTAGCAGTCTTAAGTAGTAGGAAAATGTGCATGGAGTTCATCTTTTCTTTTGTTGTTTTATGTAGCAGCAAATGCAATTTCTGGAGAGGTTCAGATTCTGATCACCTTCTTAATATTCACATTTTTACTTAAATGTGTTACTCAGTATGTGATGTTTGATTTACGTGAAAATCAGG